TAGCTCAGGGATAAGACACCTGACTTCAGCACTGGGTGATACGGGTTCGAATCTCAGAAGGGACATGAATTCCTTCAAGGTTGAAGATTGCAAATATGCCTTATTAACGAATGCCAACTAGCACGAAACCTAGGTGCTTACTGCTGACTATCTCCCATGTGTCAATAACAACAATCCTGAATCCTCGTGGTGGCGAGCCAACTAGCATGGTGGGCACAATACAATCCTGACTGATAAAATTCAATCTGTAATAAACGAAGGACTAGAGACATGGCACTAGTTAGTATACAGTCAAAAGTATAGTAGTTTATTGTCCTGTGGCTTTAAATAATCCCACTACTGATGTCGGTTTTTCACAACTTTTTCATTTATTTGCATCAAATTTCTCTAAATCCAACACGTTAATTACACGTTCATCGTGTTCAGATTCACCTTTCAGATTTCATACAATCGAATGACCTTGGCGGCCTGTTTGAACATTTTTGGGCTACCACATTCCATGTACATTTTGCATCTATTTACTCGTATTTTATTGGTATTTACATATCACATTATGCATTCTAATCGTATTATCCACTCCCGGGATTTTATAAAACGTTTTAAACCCAAAAACTTTCATATTTGCAATAAACTCAAGAAAAAGCACCATGGAGGTTGGCAGCGTGCCTTAAAATCTACACCCATACATCACACCACTGTTCCAGTTATCATTAGTACCAACTGCCGGTCCCTGCCTAATAAAATTCTGGATTTTCAGTCCCTGTTGTCTTCCGGTAGCTACCACAATACTGGTATTGTCACTCTACAAGAAACCTGGCTCCATGACTCATACGATGACAATATTGTGTCTCTAAACAATTTCAATGTTTTTCGACAAGACCGTGTTTGTTCCAAGAAAAAATGTGGTGGAGGTGTTGCAACTTTTATTCACTCAAAATGGTCCATTTCAAACAAAGTTTGTTTCAAATTCTCGAATGACTTCATTGATTGCATCACTGTGAGATGTCGCCCGAAACACCTTTCAAAATACAAATTCATTTATATTTCTAATGTTTATGTCTCTCCTGGCTGTACCATATTGGATTTATCTATGTTCGCCGATGAATTCACCGCTTTTGCTGCAGCTTGTTTCGAGAACTCTTTATCAATAGTAACTGGCGACTTCAATGGAAGCGATTGCTCCTTCCTTATATCACTTGGTCATGACAATATTGTTAACTTTGCCACCCGTCTTGGTAAAAAACTGGATCTAGTATTTATCAATGATGTTGGTATATATGAAGCTCGCAAACGTGCTCCTCTACTTAATTCTGACCACTGCATCATACGTGTGCTGCCTAAAATATATTCCAAATCACACAAAGGTGTCCTCTCTCACCTCTACAGTAAAGTTCAACGGAGATGCTACTCAAAAGACAACCTAGACAAGCTCAGATGCATGTTGAAAGACACTAACTGGGACTTATTTACAGAACAAACATTAGATGAAACAATCACAAACACTACCGATTATCTTAAATTCTGTTTCGAAATATGTTGTCCTAAAGAAACATTATTCATTCGATTTGATCGCTTATCTTCGCCATATCTCAAAAAGCTACGTAGAAATAAAGAACTGTTGTTCAAAACTAATGATAAGCCTGGTGTAAAAAAGTTAAACATGCTGATAAAACTGGAAATAAAAAGACTAAGTGTTTTATATAATCAAAGATTTTTGTCATGTAAAACCCCTTCTAATTTATGGAAACTTTTCAAAGAAATTACTAACGGTAAGCGATGTATTTCTGTTCCATCTCTTAATGTTGACACTCTTAATAAATCTTTCATACGCTCTTCTGTTGATACCCTTCCAAATGATACAAATCATATTGACAATAACTTTAGTGGTTTTAATACCCTTGATGTGCTTAAATGTCTCCGGTCTCTTAAGCCTTCTCAAAGCCTTGGTCCTGACGGCATACCTGCCATTGTCCTCAGGAATTGTGCTGATATTTTGTGTTATCCTCTTACTAACATTTTTAATGCTTCTTTTTCCGGTAACGTTCTACCTTTTGCATGGAAAAACATTAAAATTATCCCTATACCAAAACCATCTTCTGGTTCTGATATTAAATTTCGGCCTATTGCAATTACTTCCCCCTTTTTAAAATTGATGGAAAAATTACTTTTACTTCGTCTTGAACCCGCTTTGAAACCTTTTAATGATCCTAAACAATTTGCATACAAACATGGTAGAAGTACCTTGGATGCTGCGGTTGTCTTATATCACAATGTTGTCTCTTGTTTAGACAAAGGTGCTAAATATGTTCGTAGTGCTTTCTTAGACTACACATCTGCTTTTGACTCTGTACCTAGGGGCCTTTTATTAAATAAGCTATCGTTGACACAAACAGGATCCTGGGCTAAGAGTTGGTTGCATTCCTATTTTTCTGATAGAATGCAGTATACTGTATATAACGGCAAATCTTCTTCTACCTCGCTTACAAAATCCGGTGTTCCACAAGGTGCTGTCCTCTCTCCTTTTCTTTTTTCTTTCTTCCTACATGACCTGCCTCATTCAAACGAAACTAACTTTGTCAAATATGCAGATGATCTGACTGTATCACTGCCTATCACTTCCGAGTCTGACAGCTCCAAACTTAATAGCTTTCTGTTGGACATCAACAACTGGTCCAAGTCAAATGGTCTTATATTAAATCCTTCCAAATGTCAGGCACTTGACTTTACTTTCAAGCATCGACGTGACTTACTTGAACTAGTTAACTCTCATGATCCCTGTAGCATAGATGGCACGGAAATTGAAACCAAATCAAGCATTAAATACCTTGGATTAGTTTTTTCCTCTGACCTTTCATGGTCATCCCATATCTTATCTATCTCTAAGAAAATGTTTCGTCTTACCTTCTACATTAAAAAGTTAAGACAATCAGGTATCAACCAACCTTTAGTTTTGCAATTTTTAAACTCCTGTATTTTACCTATTGTACTCTATTGCTCTCCATTAATCTTTCCTGGGCTTCTCAAAAAAGATTATATCATATTACGAAGAGTATTAAATGCTGTGAGTAGAGCTTGTGGTCTGCCACTGCATGAGCTCGCTAATACTATAGTCGAGAGGCATATAAATTCCTGTACGAAATGGGCAAAGGCTATAATGTCAGACCCTCTGCACCCCCTTTATTCACACCTGTCCCCTTGTATCTCATCAGGTAGGACGAGAAGTCAATATAAAAAGATATATGCTCGTACCACTAAGTATAGAAATTCTACAATACCCTATTTAGCGCGTACTTTATGTGACGAAGACTCTGTTAGACGTGAAACTTACAAGTTACTATGTAATTAGCACAGTGAATCGACCCTTTTATCGTTCATCTTTCTGTATTTTATGGTGTCACACTTTCTATCGTTTAATCGTTACTCTGCTATTTTATTTTAGTTGGTATTACTATTATTACTACAATTTTGTACTTTATACATATTTTTCTCCGTATGGCATACAGTATTTTGCTACGTAGCTGCTATAACAATCGTTTTATTACTATTATGTAATGTGTATTTTTAATTTTTTTTGTCGTTTTTGAGTAAATTAGATGCAATATTGTACTGAATGCTGAAAATTCCTTGCTGTATCATTAGTACTGTTTTTGGAACAAAGCACAAATTATTATTATACTTCAAATTTCTAACTAAATTGCCAAACTACTTGTTAAGGAAAAGTAGTTCAAAATTATTATTCAAAGTTACTAAACAACGATAATTGTTCACTACAAAATGTTCATGATTTCCTAAATGATATGGGGAGTTCAAGTTAGGCTGACATTAAATATTATGAAACACTAACCTGAAAACCTAATTCATTCAATATAGAAAGCAAGACTAGGATCCTCAACACTAGTGTCAAATTAGTCAGTGCTTCTATATGGCTCAGGGACTTGGTGCACGCCAGACTTTTATCAACAGTTACCTTTGGGGATGGACTGATTAGCTACCAGAAACTCTGAAAACCAACCAATAAGGAGCCTACTTTTATACGAATTAGTCATAAGAAGTGGAGATGGTTCGGAAACACTCTGAGGCGAACAGTGAGCTGCATAGCGCACGAGGCCCTCGAGTTAAGCCCGATCGGCAAACGATCAGTCTGCCGTAAGTCTTTGGGTAACGTGGTGAAGATTTATTAAGGACAAGGTGAGAGTCTGTGAGTAACCGTGGAATGAGTTATAGACAACTGCAGAGAACGGGATGAAGCCCAATTTCCCACTGGGAACCCAAGAAAATAATAATGTAGTAATCAATGTCAGTCAATTTTTTGAGCATTGTAAAATAGACCAAATAAAGTATAATTATTTAATTGAATTTTAGATTTCCCCGTCGATTGATTAGACCGAAGTGCTCGGTCTCAAGTTGACATCTCAGCTTATTGTGAAGATGCTTCGACGATATCTGGCCATGTAATTATAGGTTAATTGGTGCATGGTGACTAGCAGTGGAATCCGCCAGGATGTGCATTCCGTCAAATTTGGGACTCGTCCTCTAGCTGGATCTACCTGCCTTTCGCAGTGAGTGATGATGTTCCCACTGAGGCTCGAACCCACTGCCCACAGTTTGAATTGAATTTTAGATTTTCCCGTCGACTGATTAAATTAACATGACCCGTTGAACAAGAAGTGGCTCTTGTGGCCCAAGTGATCTAGTGGATAACGCTTTGGCGTTTGAAACTATGGGTACTGGGTAGGAACATCATCACTCACTGCGGAAGGTAGGTACATCCAACTGAAAGACGAGTCCCAAATAGGACAAAACGCGCATCCTAGATTCCTTTGCCAGTCACCATCGACCAATTAACCTCTAATTACATGGCCAGACATCGTCGAAGAATCTGCACAAGAAGCAGACATGTTGAGCACTTCGTTCCAATCAATCGACGAGGAAATCTAAAATTCAGTTAAGTTAGTCTCAACCTGTTATATCATAATTCAATTTTCGACGTTGGAACTCACCTTTTGATTGGAGAGAATCTATTAAAGAGCGTTTCATTGTAAAAGGGCCAGCAGTTGAAGAGATTAATGTCACGTATACAAGAACAAAGAAACTGATAGCTGTCCATTTATAGCTGGGGTGATTTTTCAGTTTCAACTGAAAAGATAAATGCTGAGGATTGGATAACATTTTCTTTACAACTTCTGACATGATCTCAAAAGGGAATTGATCAGTATTTCTGAAATGGATGAATAATAAAATAAGAATAGATAGGTGACTTCAAAATATGATTTCGATAAAAAAAGGAAGACGAAATTTGCAGCATAAAATGATATCATTCTATTTCACGGGTTCTCATCAACTGCACACCCCTTCCCGAAATTTCACTGGTTATATAGAAGATGATAATAACATACTTTAATGTTTAAGTGGTAGTAGAGAAGAAATACTATAAAATTGACGCGTCCAAAATGTAAGCAGCATTACAATTTTTAGTTTTCATCAAGAATTTATACGCTTTTAAAGTTGAAAAGAGGGGGAAGGGGTAAGATAGAAAACAAAAAATTAATTAACAGAACAGTGTTAGCTTGTACGTTCACATAGCAACTCAAAAAACGAAAGCGGTTATAGTTTGTAAGACTGCGATTTGTTCAGTGAGTGGGTTCTAGGGGATCTATTTTCTTCTGAAGCTATTTAGAAGTATACTCTGAATCGCTTACTTCAACAGAATTCAAAGAATATACACTGAAGACACACTTGATGAAGAAGAAAGAAAGTTGACAAAAACTCTTGTTGATAACAATTATCCAGACAAGTTCATTAGCAGATATAAAGTAGTCAGTGGAACATCAAAACCCACTCAGTAACTTGCCGCTAAGAAAGGCGTATATATCAAGCTACGCTATATGGGTGATCATAGAAGCTTGATAACTCGAGAAACATTGAAACCTGTGATTAAAAAGACTTTTTGTGCAGCGAAGATTAGAACAATTGAGGATGTGAAACCAATATATCAGTCTGAGGCCTCAGGAACATGCAAAAAGTGATGTCACATCCCACTGTGTCTACTAATTTAAATGTACCTGGGGCTACGCACCCATAAGAAATACTTTTTGATCTCTGAAAGTAAGGACCTCTGAGCATATTCCTAAGCGGCTTCAGAAGAAAGCAGAATCTTTTAAACCTGTCTATGAAATGTGGTTGGGGTGTATCCTAAAGTTTGTGGGAGGCCTAGCTGGCAATTAGGGAGTTTAAACCACCTTCATACGTTCAAAAACATTAAACCTTCGTTGGTAAACTTTTTTTGATACCATAGCAGATGTATCATTACCTCTGTTATTTGATTGAGTAATCTTCATTGTTATTATCACCTCAGCACGTCCCCTAACTTGACCTAAATTTATTTGCTCACCTCTTAACTCTGTACTGATTTCATATATTTTCTTATGCCAAGTCCGTGTGTGATTAGATTGTTCGAAATAAGTGTTGGGCAAATAAACATTACACGATTCAGAGAAATTATGTCTTCTTGGAGACCTCACCACACTCTACCAAACAACTAGGCACCTATCGGGCAAAAGTTCGACACAGATTAAGCCAGTAAAGAATGACAATGGAAAGTCAATCACCAAAGAAGTAGAGCAAAGAAAACACTGGGCTGAACACTTCAAAAGACTTCTAAATCGTCCGCCACCTACAACGCGCCCAATAATACCAACAACGGTAGCAGAACTACCAGTGAACATCCACTCCCAGACGAAACCAGAAGTTCTGAATGCAATCAAGATGCTGAAATCTGGAAAAGCAGTGGGACCAGATGGAATCTCAGCAGAAGCGTTGAAAATAGACCCAGAGACAACAGCGAACTTGATGACCCCACTACTGGAGAAGATGTGGAAAGAGGGGAAGGTATCCGAGGATTGGGAGAAATGCTACTTATTCAAACTACCAAAGAAAGGAGAGTTAAGTCAATGTAAAAACTGGCGCGGAATTATGCTCCTGTCCATTTCAAGCAAAATACTAAGCCGCATCATCCTCGAGAGAATCAAACAAGCCCTGGATGAAAAACTTCGACCGGAACAGGCTGGATTCAGGAGAAACAAGTCATGTATTGATCAAATCGCCACTCTACGGATCATCATTGAACAAAGCTTGGAATGGAAGTCACCTCTCCACCTCACTCAACTTCATCGACTTTGAAAAAGCCTTTTGACAGACAGCGTCGATCGAGAGGTTATTTGGCAACCACTTCGCTACTACGGGGTGCCATCGACAATTATACATCTCATGCAACAGTTATACGACAATGTTGCATGCCAAGTAATCCACAACGGGAAACTTACAGAAACCTTCGAAGTGAGGACGGGAGTGAGGCAAGGCTGTCTACTATCGTCACTGATTTTCCTGATTCCAGTAGATTGTATAATACAACAGACAGCGGACTGAGTAGCGAGGAGACAGCTATAAAATGGACCCTGACTAAAAACTTGGAGTATCTGGACTTCGCCAATGATATATGTCTGATTTCCCACAAACTGGAAAAAGTGCAAGTGAAAAGCAACAAGTTGGCACAAGAAGCATCAAAGATAGGACTTCAGGTGAACATAGATAAAACAGAGGTGATGAAGATTCCTGGCCAACACCAACAGCGACAGCAACAACGACAGACAGCAATCAGCCAGCATAAATGGGAGGAACCTGAAAGAAACAACCTCCTTCACCTACCTACCTGGGAGGAATCGTTTCAACCACAGGCGGAACTGACGAGGATATCAAAGCAAGAATCGGAAAAGCGAGACAAGCTTTCATTACTCTCAAATCTGTGTGGAGGTCAGCAGCACTTAGCATCAAAAATAAGATCCGGATTTTCAACTCCAATGTGAAGTCAGTGCTACTATACGATCAGAGACTTGGCGAGTCATAAAGAGCATCTCAAACAAACTTCAGACCTTCATTAACAGCTGTCTTCACTCAATCCTACTCAAGATCAGATGGCCAGCCAGAAGAGATCAGCAACAGGGATCTCCGGCAATGAGAGAACCAACCAGGAACCGATTGTGAAACAAATCGGCAGGAAGAAATGGAGATAGACTGACCATACTCTGAGGAAACAAACCATCAAGTGACATCACTAGATAGGCACTCGAGTGGAATCCAACTGAATAGGAGGCGGCGAGTTGGTCGTCCAAGTGTGGCCTGAAGGAGGTGACGTGAAGAGAAGATGAAAGTGTGTAGGCAGACTTGGAGCGGGGTGAAAAAGTTGGCTGAAAACCGAAGGCAATGCAGATGCGCAACCGAAGCCCTATGTTCCTCTAGGAATTAAAGGATATAATAATAATAATAATAATAATAAACGTCTTCTTATTGGTTTGTTTAATCAATTATAAGAAAAATATCTGCACAATTACGCTGGTGAATAGTCTTAGCGTATTTGTGTGCAGTTTGAAAAATTACAGAGGAAATATTGAACTTCACACCAACGTTACCCGCTCGAAAACTATGAAAATATCATGGGACCTCAAATTACAACTGCTGGCATGCTTAAATTATACGACTACGTAATGCATGATGAGTCGAATTTGCTCAATTTCACTTTATTTCAGACACTGAACTACATCCTTGAAGAATAATCTATACTTACGGGAATGACTTTCGATATACCCATAGGTATGTTTTCAGTGGAATAAAACTGTCTGAGGTCGGAGTATTTTATTTTATTTATTTATTTATTTTTTTGATTACAGCTTGATTCCATACTGTATTTTTGGTACAAGTATGGAATTTTCAGCCTGGATATCGGTAGCCCAGAATTTGCATCGACAGGTGATCGAACCTCGGATCATGTGCATGGTCGGCGAGAGTCCTAACCACTGTGCCACCGACGCACAGTATTTCCTCAAAGGTTACCTACCATTTCACCTGAAAATCCTTTACAGTTGTTTCATTCCTTTTGGCTTTCCGACTGGGAAATGACACTTCCAGCCTGAGCTTCGAAGTTCCAGTAGCTGGAGTTACTTGCCTCACATTCAATCCTCTTTCTTTTTCGAACTTACTACGGGCTTGTAAACTAGACGAGGTATTAGACTGCGTTGTGTTTGAGGAATGAATACTGCACCACATGCAAGGCTGGTGAGCATTCTGGCAGTGAACCACCCACGCGAGTTCTCAAGTATATATATTAATATCACCAATATTATTCCCTTGAGTCCCGGTTGGAAAATACGGCTTCAGCGACACATCTGCACTTCGTCCTACTCTGTACGATTCTCTTCATCTGGTCTCACAGTTGCCCATAGTCTGTTCTCTCATCCTCCCGAAACGACTTCCGCCTTGTCCTCCATCCACCAACTCCTAACACGTTTCCCATTCGGTTTCTATTCAAGCAATGGCCTGGCGCTCACTGTCATTCGACATTTACAGTGTTTCCCCGATCCATCTCCATTTTGCTTTTAAATATTGGTTGATCAACAGCTTCTTGGTTGGTATGTTCCCAAAGTTTTTGTTGCTAATTCTTCTTAGCCATACGATATTTGATTTATAAAAGTAACCCAAGTTTTAAAATGACTTTAATAATACCAATCCATTACTTGAAAGAACTGTTACTTCGATGCACCTTCAACGTATACTTTAGTTTCAACAAAGAAATATACAGGCAAGTAGATGGAGTAGCAATGGGTTCTTCCTTAGGACCCCTTCTAGCCGACTGCTTTATGGCTAGCTTAGAAAACAACGCCTTATCACCAACTATCAACGACCTCCATCTCTACAAGAGATACATCGATGACACTTTCATTATTTGTGATGAGAACTGTGATTTAAAAAACCTACTTCAAATCTTCAATAATGCCCACCCAAACATCGACTTCACACTTGAGACTGAATCCGACGGAATGTTCCACTTCCTCGACGTCCATCTGACAAGAAACGCCGACAACTCCCTGAAAAGGTCCATATGCAAAAAGCCTACATGGAATGGACAATTCATCAACTTTCAAAGCTTCGTGCCCCTGGGCAGAAAGAGGAACCTGATATACGCTCTTTCCTCGAGGATTCGGAAGATATGTAGCGAGGAAGTGGTTGAAGAAGAACTGCATAATTTTCGAAAAACCCTGATGGAAAACGGTTTCCCGCTCAGGTTCATAGAAAAGAATCTCAAACCTAAGAAGACTTCCGAACAAGTCCAATCCGTTCCAAAGAAAATGCTTCTGCTT